CTAAGAGCTATAAACACAAATATCTCAGTTACACTGCCACTGCGTGTCCCTGTAATTTCACCACCACCTTCTTACCTTTTAATACCGGAACGCAGTAATGATCAAATTACTGCGTTCCAGTTTTGAACTGAACTTAATTGTCTGACCAAAAATTATTTGACTTGTCTGAAACAGGATTTAATGTAAATTATAAAACGACATTACACTATTTGTGTCTCAACTGGTTTAACAACATTGAGATTTTCGCCAAAAAAATCCCAAACGACGTCTATTTAAATCAGTATCACCAATAAAAAAGAACGGATGTGTAAACATCGGCGACAAAAAATAAACCACTTAATATTATATGAGAACATCAAAATTCACAGTTTGCAAACGTTGTGAACCTAATCAATTTCTTATCAACGACTTCCGGAGAGCACAGATGTCGCGGACACTTCCCCGTCCCTTCATAGAAAAGCAATCGGGTAGTCGTAAACGTTAAGGGTCTGAAAGTACCCCCAGGGGTCGTCTAAAGGCACTACGTTGTTGCTTGACACTGGTAGAAAAAGTACCCGTCGGTAGCCCCGTAATCCGGGACGGGCGTCCGGGGTGTTATAAGGCCGGCAAAAAGTGTAATTTAAAGCTGACTTAAGGATCCGAATTAAAAATGAAAGGAACGAGGTGCTTGGATCTATAATGGGACAAATTCAGGGTACAATTTGGGGTCGGACTAGGGCTAAGAGAATGTGGTCCGTTTTCAGATTTCTCATTGCGAGGAAGTTGTTATTGATTTGATTGATTTCTAAAAGATCTACAACTCGTATATTTATTTTTTCAAACAAACCAACGTTTCGGGCCGTTTACTGGTCCCATGTCCAGGTACGCGATTTATATTTAGATTTATATATAGCTATGTGTAACAATCACGATAACCGAGGGATTCTAAAAGCAAGTTCTTTTTTATTGGAAAAGTAATAAGACATTCGTGAGTGAATGAAGTATTTAGAGCACATTAAAAAATACGTGTCAACACGGAATGGTAATGTGAATCAGAATAAGTTAATGTAGCTAATATACAACATAGTTGTAATACAATAAATATTATTCACTAGCTACTCGCATAGGTCAGTATTGTATAATATTCGACGACCTGTGGCCGAATGGTTTGCACTGTGGGCACTGTACGAGGAGGTACCGGGTTCGATTCCCGGTGGGACAAATTTGGGATATTAACTTTTCTAAATTAGTTCTGGTTTAAGTGAATTCTGTTACTCTGGTATTCATAATACCTACAGAGAGTTCCCTAGTTTGAGACTAGGTAATTAGTGTAGTTGTCTGACACATTATTATTATTAATCTATTTTAGACTTATTATTATTACCTACATTATTATTACATTCTGCTCTCCTTATCATAACTAACGTAATCGACATTTCATCAGATATACAACCCCCTTTAAGCAGTATTTTTAAATCTTATTTTATTTCAGTTTTATTGCTGAGACTTAACTATTAGCTCGAACTAAATTTTTTCCCGTGCTAATACGGTTCATTTTGCTTGTGACTCTTGCTTTACTTCAGAATTATTTTTTTTATAAACGAAATCAAAGCCGAAAAATGTATATCGTATACTATACGAGTTATATTTAGTTCAGTTGATACATAAAAAACAATCATTAGTATAAGTAAAGTAAGCACCTACTGAATATTGCTCTTTTCTTGTAAAATTTCGAGGTAAGTTTGTGTTTTTTTTCTATAGTCAATATTTTTAGGAATGTTTACACACCATATAGTGATCAGTATGTATCCTCAATTTTACTATATATTTTTTCCAGAGTGATTGATTTATTTCTTTCACTGTTATGCGGAATCAGCAAAATCAGCAAAATCAGCGTAAATTCGATTCGATTGATTTTTGGGTAACACTTAAACTTCAGGTACCAATATCTCGAAAGTTACCAAAATGCTAATGCGTTAGTAAAGACAAGAAGGGCAGTATCGTAACCTCATTAATTCATATTAAATAGAAAGAAAATATTCGCATCAATTTCAAAGTGATTATACGTTTCTACTACATTTACATTTTCGACAAACTTCTCTACCTATTTGCAATTCAGCTCGCCATTTCCCTACAGGCCAACGGTTATCCATTACAATAGTAACCTAATTACCATGCAGCTATTGTTCTACTTAAGGACGAAGGAAATACTTTATGCTAATATTTGGTACATTGATGTAGAAACCTTCCTTTGTCTAAAAGTATATTTGAAATATGTGTACAAATTGTGTTATGATGATGCAGTCCTCCTTCATCGTCATCCCACCTTTTTATCATGCTTTTTTCTGGCCATTTATTTTTGAAATTTGGAATCGTCTCCAATTTCTTTTCCTTCACTATTGTTACGTTAGTTCTATCCGTAGTCATTACCAACAACATTCTTGAAACGAGAGGACGTGCCTATAAATCACACACAACGTCACGTCTATTACCTTCTTTTAAAATTATATATTTATATATAGGCTTTTTGGGGTGAGTATTGTGTTAGCTACTGTTATAGGGAGTGGTTTATAACAATTGTACTTATTCTTTATAGGTATCATTTTATTTCTTAATGCTTTTCTTTTCCTCTTTTAATATTTCTTATAATAAACCTTGTGGACCGAACCTTCTGCGTTCTAATTTTGCTAAGGCTAGGCTACAGTATTAATAATGAAATGGTACTATAAAAGGTTATGTACACTTCAGCAAAACACCCATAAGGCGTCTACGTGGCGACGTGATTACAACTTCCAAACCATTCTTAGTATCAGTGGCTCTCCTATCGATTTGCACATTCTTTTGAAAGCGACAACGAATATTTTGTGATAATTACAATAGTATTATATAATAATTAGTGACTACCTATCTTACAAAATAATTTCTATTTGAAAATATCAGTAAGTACGTAGGTAGTTAATTATTTACTAAAACTTCTTGACTGTAAATAATATTTCGAAGTAGTCTTTGTACGTTAAAGAGGGCGTGTTCTGCGATGGGCGGGGCTGGAAGGCGGTACCTCTGAGGCCTTGGGCCTCCCAGAGCACTCAGGATCAACTTTGTTGTTGAAATAACTCACGATATTAGTTATAACTCGTATTTTGTTTGTATAATATGTACATACGATGCTATTATTCTTTATTTGCGTTGTGTTTGAAATAATGGTTACTATATTTCGTATGCTGCATATAGCATTTACTAAAAGAAACTCCTATATAATGTTCGCTAGCATGGCTCCATAAACCCCCAAATCACATTAGTGCGTAGGTATTACTTAATGACTTTTGAAATAAGTAACTTAGCCGTGAATCTACTTATTTTGGAAAACAACTTTGCAACTACATATTACTTTGCAGGCAGCAGATCCAGTTAAAACATTACTATGTTTATTTGCGTATCATAAACAACGTTCTATTAGCCTCTTTCAATAAGAATGTCCATATAGAATTGTAGAAATTAGTTGATTAAAAAGTTATTAATAATTCGCGTATATTTGTTTTTTTAAACAAACCGACGTTTCGGGCCCTTTACAGGTCCCATCCCATCAGTCAACCGTGACCATGGGATTTGTTTAAAAAAACAATATATAATAAACAAAAATAAATATATTTAAATCCGGAAAATTAGTTTCATTTCCTATGTGTAACAATCGCGAAAACCTAAGAACTCGATATTATTAATAATTCGTTATTTTTAAGATAAAGTATTAGTAATAGAAATGTTAGTAACAATTGTCTTATTAAGTTACTATATACTAAGTAACAATGAAACATATTAATGTCGGTATAGATTGGTCTTTAATATCTACAGCAGTTAGATTTGCCCGATTACAACAACGACGCGGAAGCTGTTTCTTTCATGCTTGATCTGATCTAACATATTAAGGCATTACGTCACTGTCCTGATTTTGTATAAAAATTTTTGCATATTAGTATCCAAGCCTTCGTAATTTTTTATAAATTATTACCGTGGTAAAGCCCATTTCAGGTTCTCGTTTCAAAATGGTGATTTTTATTATCTATTTTAACTCAAAAAAATTTTGTACTAAAAAGTTATTTAGTGAGTTCAAATATATGTATTATGTTGTTGCAAATAAAAATCTACGGCTACTGTAGATTACCTACCTACCTACACACGGTTAATGATATAGGTGCGATTCCATTGCTTTGGTATTCTGTTATGTATGACACGCTTCGCAACGGGCTGGCAATTGACACAAGAAGACGATGTTGCTAATATACAGTATTATTAATACCATTTTCTTTTTACGGATTCTTTTTATTCAAGGACGAAAGATCTAAGAAGGAAAAATAACCTCGATCATGCAATTGCTCTTTCAAAAATAGGGAAAATTCTAAAAAAATATTGCATCTATTACACCATTCAAATTAGACTTCGAAGTTGTGATCAAGAACTATGTCTCCAATTGTAGAGTCAGTTAAAAACCATAAGGAAAGTGCTGTGTATAAAATTACCTACCTACTCTGAAGGCACTTTTAAAACACGCTTACAAAATGCTGACGCGATCTAAAACCGATTGCTTCTTACAAAAATTTGAAGACGATTATAACCGCCAATTTGCGAATATATCCCTCTCTAAACTACGAACTCAACATATAATTAATGAGGCGACAAAACCTCATCTCACAAGTAGTTAAAGTCAATTCCCAGTGAAATTTCATCATCGTCAATCCTTGGTTTAATAAGTAATCCTTGCGCTGTGGGCCGTCCCGTCGCCGCCGCTGCGGCTGCCGCGCCGGTCCAGAGAGAGGCCGAGTGTCTCATCCTTACCGCTATCCCTTACAGGCACGAAACTCCCGCGGGCGCGCTCCGAACCTTGCCAACAACCCTCCAACAACCTCCATTATCATAACACTCGCCGCGTACTACACACATGTTTCATATGTAAAAATAAAATAAGTATTTTTCCTAGCCGTTATTATAAAGATAAACGAACTAATTATTCAAAATTTAAATATAGAATGGCAGTGGGACAGTGGAGCAGTGGCGCCACCTGCGGCAGTCGCGTCGTCCCGCTCTTGAGGCGAGGGCGTATCCCAAGGGCGCCTCCCACAGTCCGCGGGGACGGACGGGGGCGCCGCGAAGCTCGAGCACTCGGCGGCGCGCTCCCGCGACGCTTGTTAGTGCTCCGCAAATCCACAGCGGGATCGCCCGTACAACCGGGACCCGATCCCAGTACGCACGTACGATAAACCAGAGCCGCCTACCGGATAAAATTATTGATAACTCGCAACTAATATACAAGTTTGCGCAAGTTCCGAATCCGGATTTATTTTCAGTTTAAAGAGAATCTGTGTTATTTTTGGATTTTGCAGGGTGTAGAGAAAAATATCGTTTTTTTTATAATTCTAATGTCGCGGACTTAGTTTTGTAACTGTTCACTATATCTACAATTTTACTAAATTAATTTCATATAAAAACATTTTAAAAAGTGCGTCGTTCAGACTGGAAAATTCTTGATTTGAAAATTCGAAAGTTTATTTTCGGGTGCGTTCGCATTTTTACGGGAGCATTCGTGAGCTCTCGGGCGCCTGAAACGGGAGTGCGTAGAGTGATCCGCGATTCGGTCGGACGAGTTAAACGCGGCGGCGGGCGGGTACACGGGCTCGCCTTGGCCGCCGCTCGAACTAGACCCCGTGGGATGGGGACGAAAGCTGTATCCATCGGGAGCCCCAAGGTCCTCAGGTACGTGAAAGTTTATGACTATTACCGGCTAAGTTTTGAGCAGTACTGAAAGTCAATAAATCGCAATTAATTCTAAACCTAAGAACAACGCGATGAAATTTACTGGATTTGAAAATGTTTATTTGATACACCTATAGATTCAACTACTAGTATATGACGTGTTTACTACAACGTGCTGTACTTCTTGTGAATAATGTTATATATGTATGTATGTTGGGTGTAGAGGTGTAAAAACAAAAGAAAATGAGATAGGTACTAAGTATTTTTGTTAATTTTGTTGAAAATAATACCTTGAATATGCAAAAAAAGTAAAATAAATCTATAAACCATTTACTCCTAAAAGTTGGATTACTTTTTGTTTTTCTTTCTTGTAAATGATAATAAAATCAACATCTTAGTGTTGTGTACGTGTTCACGTATTGGATTTGTTGGGAATTATAATTCGAACGTACGTAATAGGTTAAATTTGTAGTTTATATATATTTTATAGTTCCTATAAAAAATGTTACATTTAAATGATTAAAATTGCATAGTGCACAACACTGCAACATAAAAAGAAATTAAAATAAATACTGAAATTGTGTAAGTATAGAGCAGGTATTGTTATTTTTTTTTTATTTTTGTCATAGGCGGGCTAATGTTCGGCCTGCACCACCAAGAGGCGGCGGGCGGCTTGCACGCCCAGCCTCGCGGCCCCGTGACCTCGCTCAAAGAAGAACCGCTCACCCGCGCTTGGATGACCCCCAGCTCTTTAGTTGACAATACAAAGTAAGTACCAACTGTATGTGGGTGTTGATTCTGTAATTCTTATTATAATAGCAAATACATACTATCGCTCATCCTTGACTCGTTATAATGATTACGTAATTTTATATAATATAACTTGGGAAATAGTATCTGGACCATCATCACTCATCACCATCTAATCTATCGATCAGGGGAATCTTTTTCATTCATAATTATTATTTCTACAAGATTAAAACTGATTGCACCTATAGAAATGATCTTTTGAACTTTAAGCCACGAGAAGGTATTGGTAAATTACTTTCTTAAAAGTTAATCTATTGTGTATTTCTAATTTACACAATTTTCTTCAAAAAGTTTGTTTCTCAAACGATTGTTAAAAGTATCATAAAGATTTAATAATACATTCCTTTTATATAATGTATACTTTCTAATGCAAAATGGATTAACTATCAAAATTGGAAGGGAATGATAAACATCTATGTTTGTACTATTTGATAAACCTTTTAGTAAACTAAAAGAGCAACGCACTAAACTTATTATGGGCACCCAAATTGTATTAGCGGTCCATGAAATGAACAGCAACAAATGTGTATTTGGTGTAATATTAAATAAACTGGGATAGGATTAAGTTGGTACTGAATATAGGGGACCATTGCTAATCTATACATATATATTATATACCGATAGACTTCCGTTCGGTGATCATTTTATAACAAAAACATTTACATTTTGAAGATTAAAAATAAAGAACTCATATCAAGAGTGTGAGGGAAACAAGTTCTACTCATGAAGTATTAAAGTAAGTACATCCCTAGTAGTGGCTCCATTACACTACTCGAGGTGATGGTGATGAGTAGAAAGCAGTTTTTTTATTCCTAAAAATATTTATATAATAATCAGGAAGTTATCATCAATCCATTTATACGTCCCAATGCTAGACACGGGTCTCCTCTCAGGCAAGAGTTCCACGCTGGCCTAATGCGGATGGGACTTCACACGTTTTCCGAAAGTTACGAACCTTTTTCAATGTGCAGCTTTCATCACGATGTTTTCGTTTACCGACAATGTCGTGGTAAATTTCAAATTCATTTCGCAATAAATTCCGAGAAACTCAGAGGTGCGAACCCGGATTCGAACCGACGGCCTCTGATTGTGAGAGGGTAGGTAAACCATTAAGCTAAATGGATTAAGCTACTATTTGATAAACCTTTTAGTAAACTAAAAGAGCATAGCTTCAAAAAAAAAGGTAAACCATTAAGCTACCAAGGTTTATGGCAATCAAGAAGTAAACAACGTAATTGTAACTAAATGCAAATACACTATTTATGCTACATAACAGGTACAGTCTCCAACATCGACATGTGCACAATGACTCCATTACCATCCGATAGGGCGCGTCCAATCTGGGGTGGGCAAATTTCGCACGCCGATAATGAAGCCGGCCGTAACAAGTGTGTATTCATAAACGGAAAGGGCGCAATAAATCATATTCTATAGGCTCCTGTGACTGTGGTAATGAATAGCTTCAAAATTTACCTATGGAATATTTTGTTGGTTGTGTTAATTATGACTGGATAGTTTAACATAATTATGGTAACGATATGTAATATGATGATTGACTGAAGTGGAATGATTACGTAGTGTCAATACTATTACTGATGATCAAAAATATTACATTGAAATTAAAAAAGTGTGTACATTAAAAATGAATAAAAAATGCAGGTTATCAATGTCAAATTTTAAATGGTCCTTTAAATTAAAATACAATTCAAACTTCTTTTTACACGTTATTACCCAATCAGAAACTAAATGTATTAAAAAACTTACTAATTCTTTTAACGGGGGAGTACACCGCTAATGATTTGAAGCTTACAAACGAGCCTGTCATCGCCAACGGCCGGCTATCTGTCAGCATTTGTCTTATGGCCTCCTGATGATTTTACGCAATTACTCTAATTGCCTACGTAATTGATATTGTTGGCGGGGAGATTCGAAAATTTAAAGGTTATTAATTCTGAGAAAGTGTCAAATCTGGCTAATTCCTTTCACTGTAAGGACTGTAACGTCCAATAATTTGCTACCTACAAAGTTTTATATAAATATAAAATATTATTAGGCACCTAATGAAGGAAATATAAATCTTCGCCTGTACAAATTTCTCACAAAATTTAGCACAGATAACCAAACAACCACTTGTTCTACACAAACATTTAAGGATGAACCCTAACACGACAGATGTGGACCCTTTCCAAACAATGCGTACTAATTCAAGTATCAATACGTCATATTACGCGGCTGACTGTACCAAATGCTTGCACAACTCTATTATTTCTCTTTAAATGTGGTAAGTTCATAAAATTTCAGTGTTTGTTATACTTTTGTTTAGACCATCTGTTATCTCAAATGTTATATATCTGGTATTTACATATTATAATTTATTATTTATAAGAGGAGACAGAACTTACACTTGCTACTAGTAATTTTATGTCTTACAACACATATTTTTTCTTTTCAATTGCACCAAATATAAATTAAACTCTTTTTAGATACAACACTTAATTTATAGACATAAATTAATTTATTGACATACATCACTTAATTTATTGACATACATTTAGTTCTTATTCAATTACAAGTGCAGAATCAATTTTGCTACAGAAAACCTTATCGAAAAAATCAAAGATTATCGTGTCGAAGTGTGACAAAACGCGTGCGATCTGTTATCCAAAAAGGAACCTAATCGCAAGCGTTGCCGAAAACTGGCAACGATAAATAAAACAATGGAGTGTCGCTCGCGAGAGTATAAAATGGCAATCGCGAAACCAATTTGTTTACGCAAATTCTGCAGCGGGGAGAGATGAATGGGCGACCATAGCGTAATACGGTCCTCCGTAATGCTGGTGGTGTAGTGATGGGACGATAGAATTATTGATATCGATTATCGACTCTATTTTGTAAATGCCATTATTTTTTTATAGCAGAATTAATTTATAATATAACAAATTTTTGTGGAAGTAAATGGGGTAGACAGATATTCTTAGAGAAAAATTTAATTCTTATCTGACGAGTGACGTCAGCAAAAACCGTATTTCAAAAAAATTGTCTTAATTTCTTTTTAAAATTTGATAATTATAAAAAAATCGTAGTCTGGATGTGACTATACATAGCATAGGTATCATTTTATTATTTTATGAAATAAAGCCATGCATGGTAAACCCAATGAGTAAACGATTTCTTCTCAATAAAGGTCGACGGTTCAAATCCCTGTGGCGTCATGTACCCCATGATTTTATTTTTTTTAAATTAAAGAAGCTGTGGTCGCCTAATGGTTAGTCCTACCGCCGCTCTAGGAGGATGGCGTGGGTTCGAACCCATGACACTTTCCTAGATTCGAATCCGGGCTTGCTTTTTCGGTTTTGGAAATTTATTTACCACTTACAATAAATTTACCATGATGTTTTCGGTGAATAAAATACCGTGATTGTAAAGCAATTTCATGATGTCATTTCGTGATTCATTTTCATTTCATTGATGTGTCATTTCAGTTAGTGTGTATTTATTACATTGCTTTGCATATGTGTGTGAAGTTCCCAATCCGCATTCCACCTGTGTGAACTACAGCCCAAGTCCTCTCATTGTGAAAAGAGACCTACAACCTAGCAGTGGGAATATATATAGGCTAACTATTTATTTTTGTTGGCATGGTCTTTATTATTTATTATCTTTTATAAAATCTTCTTGAAAAACTCACTTAGGTATATTATTCGAAACATGGGCACATCTCTAAACAAATACCACACAGCCGGCGCAACAATGAGAAATGAGCCCGAAGATTTGATGAACTGCACGCATTTCAAATGTTGCTTTATCGATGTATTTATTGTCTACATGTGTATCACATTTATGTGCCAATTTCAACCTTCTACACATCCAATAAGATATACATGAGAGGCAAAAATAAATTTGTGAACCTATATTTATTCAACACATATGTGGCCTAACAAAGTGTGTGGCGGTGTTAATATATCGTCACTTAACTTGTGACACTTTGAAAATGCGGTCTATATTTGTGTCAGGGTTTTGATGTTAAAGAGTACTAATAAGACCATTGTAATTTATCAAGCTATCAAAAATATTCTCACCTGATCGGAAGTGACAATGTGGTCGAAGATGATAACTATGGTAATATCACTGTAATATAACTATTTATAATGTAATATACAAATTAGTTCACAATTTCATGTTGTCTCCATCTGCATACATTAGTCCGATATTGTTATATATCTATTTTTTATGATACCAAGTGACTGGACAGTGCACAGGCAACTGTTATGGATAGGCGTGTAGTACCATCAGATGCACGACCCGTTCGTCCCGTCACTTGATATTATTAAAAAAAAAGTTGCAGGCGTGGCATTCAGAACTAAATCGCAAAAATCTGAGGTAGTGCACCTCAGTTCAGTGCCGCTGCGTTCGTCACTCTGAAACATAAGTTGAGTAGAAGATGTTTTTTAAACTATACTGAAATGACAAAGACAGTATCACGTCCTCCTCATAGATATGTGTAACTTATTTTCGACATAAAAAAATTTTAAATTCTTCTTTGATTAGCGTTCGTATTAGAATTTTTGTTTGTAAATGACTTGCAAATTCGATACTTGCCGACCGATAATCATAATCTATTATCACTAAAATAAGACATCACTGCTATCATTTGCATTTCTAAAAAGCACAAAAGAACATTTGCAAACCTTTAACAGGTACTGTTGTAAATCAACTGCAAACGGATTATGATCTTTTGTTTTTTTTATACTTTTCTCGTGTTGCTATTTTATGAATAATACTTATTACCAGTCACTAGTAGTCAATATGTGGGTATCTATTGACAAATAGCGGGAAGAGAATGAAAGAGCCGACGAAGGAATTTTAAATTTATGGCCGCATTTTGGGGGTTCACTTACAGAGGTTTTTTTCACGCCTTTCGGTGCCAACTGGTGACGATTTGTTTGTAGATTTTGCTGTCGATTGTGGCTTAAGTTTTTGTCTGTTTTCTTTAACTTTTGACGTTCAATTTTCAAAATCGAAGATAGATTTTGAAAAAATAGACTTCCATGTAGCTTGAAAGATAATTCAAAAAGATATACAATAAAAGATAATTGTTTAAATGAGTAGAACTATCTCAAACAATGTACTATCGCAAAGTGAAAGTCAAACAGTCTTTATTTCAAAGGTGCGCAAATATACTTGAAATCGTCATATTGATTAAATTCTTCTACTGTTCGTAAGGCAGATTCCCCTGAGAAGATTGAGCCAGAAACTTTAGGGGTTGCTGCTTGTAAATAAACATTTGTACGCATGCATAATTTCAACAACCTGCAAGTGCTGAATGGGTCACTACCACGGACTTTTGTCATCCAATTAAGCAGTAGCTGTATAATAACCTTTAGTATAAAGTTTTTTTTTGTTGTTGTTTTACTATAGTTGTGAATGGCAAATTTTGTTACAAGTTTCTGAAACTCAAAATACATGAGTGTGTCTGTTAAAAATTGAGACTGACCTTGCTTGTACAATCACGTTCGTTAAACCGTGTACCGCTACACAAGTGAAATTGAAATTCGATTATCTTATTAAATCTTATTGTAATAAAAATTGAAAATTGAATTAAATTGCAAAAGTAATCAATAGTTCTATAGTATATAAAATAATATAAAATTCCGATAAACGTGTTTCGAGTTCATTGGGCTGTAATTTCACTATGCGCATACGTATCAAATTAAGTTATTATATCGAGTGGTATGCAAAATTTCATCTTATTTTACCCTTTGCAGCAGCGTAGGTGTGGGTCGGGCGCACTTCGAAAAGCAGCCCCCCTCTAACCTGCGCAAGAGCAATTTCTTTCATTTCGTCGTGGCGCTCTACGATCGCGCTGGCCAGCCTATTGAGATCGAAAGAACTGCTTTCATTGGATTCATTGAGAAAGACCAGGTATGTGCTTCAATAACAAACTATTTCATAATCTTAAGATCTAATTCCTGAAATTATGTCCATTCTGTCCAGATTTGTAAATGAAATTGCAAATTCAAATTAATGCGATCATCTTACCTGTTATCATGTAATCTTATGTATTATGTTGCAACACTCGTATAGATATTAATCGAAGATAACGCTTTTATTAAGCCTTAGTTCTATGTAAGTTACTTTGAAGCGTTACCAAAAATATTCGTCCATGACAAAAATATTACATTTCAATTAAACTTCACTAAATCACAAAAAAAAGTATTATTCACTTTTAAAGGTTAACAAATGCCTTTATTACTCAAGACTAGAATTTTATCCGCGTTGTAATGTTGCTTACTTATTTGGTTTTTGATTGACATTTTATGAATTCGGTTTTCATCGTACTTAAGATACCCATTTCTTCTAAAAGTATTTGAATTAACATTTACGATACTATTTCCAATTTATGGATAAATTTCACTTATACCTTTTTTGCAGTAAAAAATAATTCAATATAGAAGATTTATATTTATTATGAGTTTATTCCAGAACATTTTTAAGAGAAAATTAGAATTATTAATTATGCTTTTATTGAATGTGAAAATTCTAAAAGTAACATTACGTAATAAAATTTGCAGGTGTTAAGGGACAAAATTAAAAAAAAAATGTAATTTGTAACAAGGTTTTTAGTTCGTTGTCTATAGAATCGACTAAAATAAATTTACGTAATTCAATATTCGCTATTTTTCAACGAGAGGTGCGATATGATCTAGTGTCGTGATATAAAACTCAAAATAAAATTAGAATACTGCAAAATCACAAAAGTGGAAAAAACGTAACAAATTCCTTTCAATACCGAACTATTAAACATTATCAATAAATACTGATGGGTATCAGAATCAGGGTTCCATTAATCAGGATCTCGGAGACACGATGTCTATTGTGCGCACAATACTTATTTACATAATTCGCCTGCCTTGGTGGCATGTGTCAGATTTCTTTTTTTCAATGCTTATTTAAAAGACTGGATATATGATACGATTTTCTTTTGTTTTAGACGCTCTTTTGTTTCCTACTCCATAATTTACAGATAGCTAGGTAGCTATTATTTTATTCATCATCTTTGTCAACCTATTAACACAGTCTAACCAATATTATAATGTCACTGCTGGGACGGAGACAGACTTAGTCCACCATTTTGTCCCGATGCAAGTTGGGAACTTCACACCATTTTGCAAGGGTTGTGTATCTTCTTCGATGTGCAGGTTGCAGCACGATATACTTCTTTACCGGTAGCGACAGATATTACTGTTAAACATTCAAACCTTGGCTTTTAACTGAGAAGCACTTGAACCACTAAGCTATCGCAGCTATTAACTATGTGGTTGTAAAGTAGAACGTAATCGTTTTTGTTCCTATAAATTGTAAAAACAATAATATATTTAGAACTACTTTTAAAAACGAACATCGAATGCATGGATAACTCCTGTTGGTTGGAACTATGACTTGCTGACAGTGACGATTAGATAACAAATATAAATATTAGACAACATCGCATACGTTGCTCTGATCCCAAATAATGAGCACTGATAAAAATAATAATAATAAAAAAAGAAAAATAACTATGCTAATGCATTTAAAACTTATGTTATGGAAATCGGAAATAACGACGGTACTACATACACCCAGACCCGAGACATTTGGAAAAGTTAGTTTTTCATACTGATCCGGCCGGGGATCGAACCCGGGACTTCAGAGATTGCGACACCATAAAGCCGGTATGCAAGCCACTCGACCATAGCCGTCATCGTCACGATTAATTCAAATTTCTGTTATCCGTTGTCAGTGGGCCACCAAACCTTAAAGCATATTGCTCTAAGCGCCAAAGCGTGTTTTTAATATATTATTACGATATCTTTAAAAAATACTCATCTTTTAATTTTTTTTTATCGCTCTCAGCAATATCTAATAATAGCGTCTAAGTTAAGCTAAGTCTTTGCTCGCTCATTAATAGTTACCATAATAATATAGTTCTTGATTTGATTACAAGATTAAACTTCGCCACCTTTAAATACGAAACAGCAAATTGGCAAATTCGAAAATAAAAATTGGTTAGTTTCTCATAGAAAAACTAGTACACTCAAATATCTTATTAGTATAATAAAAAGAACTTAATAATAATGGACAAAAGCGAATAATAATAATGACGCATACACTCAACATAGCCCCGCACTAGGGAAACCCTGTGTCGCGGGTGCCATGGATACACACATAGACAACCACAAATTACACCCAAACTCACGAGAAAAATAAATGTAGGCCATACAAATATTTCTCCCTGCCCGGGAATCGAACCTAGGACCTCGCCGTCGCCGTCCGGCATGGTAACCGTTCGGCCACTGAGGCAGTTAGTTAATTATATTAAAGTTTATAATATTAAAGTAACAACAATTTTATTTCTCTGTCTCTAAGCAATGAAATCATATAAACTATTTTTTTTTTAAACTTGCAAGGCTTTCTCCGACCTCTTGTCTTTAGATATGCCCATTGCCCATGCTGGATTTAGTCATAGATAATTAAAAACAAATATTTTTTTACTAAATTTTTTACATTTTCTTTCAATATTATTTTTTTAATGGTGGATGAAAGCATAGATGCGCATTAGAGACACCAAGTGGCTCTAGTACGCTACAGTGAGTAACAAACTCGTTTTTATAAACGCGAAACGATTTAAAAAAAAAACGCTTGTGCTAATTATTTTTATGTGCTACCGCAATCTCACTCGCCGCTAACTATCTATGTACTAGGCTTAGGGCTTTGTTGCGCAATTCCACAAGAGTTAAACTGTGTGCCACCAATATTGACTAAATTACTAATATTGGTTTTTATTGGCTAAATCTCTCAGAACGAGAAATAACCAAAGTCCACTGCCCTTTATTAACAGTTGAGCTTCTTCGCTATGTACGAGTATTTAAACGCTAGTGGCATTATATTTACATTTTCAAAACTCTATAAGAATTTAAAAAAAAAACAGACGTGCGTTCGCTATATAAGGCTAAAACGCGACCAGGAATGTTTGCTTTGTGAATAATTAATTCAATACAGACAAACAAGAAGTGCGAACGGGTTACGGGCCATTTCACGGTATAAAATTGTTCTGGCGTTGATATTTTTTCATATATATTAACACTAAAGAGTCGACAGTTAAATAGAACAGTCTTTTTATATAATCTTAATTTTTTTAGGATTGAACGTAAAGATTTTTTTTTCAGTCAACCTACTACATTAAAGGAAAACGTCGTCAGAATTGATGACAAATGATATTTGCAAATTACGCGATAATACGTTATTATTTTATGCAAACATTGTGTTTAACACTTGGTAGCCAATAATTTCACAAAAAATAATTGAATATCAATTCAATAAAAATTTAAAATGAAAGTATAGTTTATTTCGAACAGTTTTCTTGGACCGTACTCAGACGATAAATTAGCACGAGCGCTTTTATATTCAAATTGTTTCGTCTCATTGACTATTTGTATACTGTTTTAAATTTATCTATGCTTACATCTAGTTTCGTCATAGCTAAAGACAAGACATCGGAGAATGCCTTCCGATCTTTTCCCAAAAATACTTTACATGATTTCAAGGTCGCAAATGACATGAATTAATTAGTTTAACTAACAACAGTGAATGTTTTTTTACCGGTTTAATGGTGTTGATAGTTTATTAACCAATTCAGGAATATAATGTTCATAATTGCATTTTAAAAGTAATTCATATCATGTATTGACAGTGTCAAATTTTGCAATCGATATAAGTGAAAAAATCTCATGTTTAAAAATAATTTTTAAGGAAAATAATGTTGTCCTAGTTTTATTAATAATATTACAACTTCAAGACTTTAATAAAACACAATTTGTTGCAGGAACCCGAAGGCCAGAAGACAAACAACGGCATCCAGTACCGGCTGCAATTACTTTATGCTAATGGTGAGCTTCAATGTCTAGCATAGCCATTTAGAAAACTTACGAGCTATAAAACGCGTAAACTTACTTTAACATTATGCTGTGTATAATGTCAAGTATAGTAAAGGGCTTTAAACGTTATATTTCATTATGTGCATCAATGCGAAGAGAAATACAACGTATACCGTAGGTATACACTGTTCTATATACCTCTAGTAAATAATCATAACATGCCAGATAACCAAACTAATTATCTGGTCCCAAACTAGAGACTTTCCTGTACTATAGGTATCAGATCGACGAAAATAACTCGGAACATTAGACCATATACAAATCTACTGGTTCGTTCCGTAACTCAGTTGAGAGAGCGTCAGCCACGGTATGGGAATGTTGCTGGTTCGAAACTAGCCGGTTCGGAAGAATTTTTCTTTGTGGTCGATCTTTATATTAATATGTAATTATAACTAGTAATTTTATTTAACAAAAATAATTGAATATCATGGTAGTAAAACATTGTGATATTCGATAAACTCAATATTACAATAAGACCAGATACTATTTAGAAAAGTTTACTTCATAAATTGATCCTACCCGGAATCGAAACTGAAACAACACAGTGTTACCCGCTGTGCCATCAAGGTCGTCTAGTCAAAAGTCGTAAGTGGATCAGTGATTCCATTTTCATTGTGTAGTGACGAATTATTATCATGCCGCGTCTCGTCACAGAATGTTAAAGATGCTTAAAGTTGTAGAGTTTAGAGTATATTTTTAATACCTAAGTGAATCTAGTGAACAGTATGTTATCCACAGACATAGATTTCTTTGAAACTAGAAGAAATTACCATATTCGCTACGCTTGGAATACTGACTGGCGTTTGAAGTACTGAAATCTAATAATAATAATAATATAATGCTACCTATCTTCTGGATTTGTTTAAGTAGACATAGTATAGTCGATAAAATATTAAAGATTAGCGTCTATTTAACATTTCAGTACCACTGTACTGAAAATCAGACTTAAAGTTGTGTAGCATACGGTATATTTTAAAGCAAACATCTAGTGAACGTTGCACACTTAAATGGAAAGTAAAGGTGGAATCACACTGATCTGATCGGCACTTTGCCTATTCTACGCGAGAATTAAATAAATAAATATTAGACAACATCACACATGTATTTGAATGTGCGCGCTTACATCTTTTCATAATGACATCGCAAAGTATGTCTATTCAAAACTGGCGTTTTACACATACACACACGGGCACATTTAGTGGAACAATAAAAGTGTAAATATATAATAATAACCGAGTTCTTAGGTTTTCGCGGTTGTTACACATAGGAAATGAAACTATTTTTCCGCATTTAAATCGCGTATATTTGTTTTTTCAAACAAACCGATATTTCGGGCCCTTCACAGGTCCCATGGTCACGGTTGACTGAGGTGGTACAGTCTTCCACCAGTTATGTCTAATATTAATGCAAACCACCCTATTTTTTCACTATAGTTACAATAGTTATTAATTAAATACCTTATTTTTAATTTTACAAAGAAAACATTCAATTTACGCTACATTAAGTTTTACAAATTATTTTATTGAATGAATTTTTATTAAGTTCAATTTGTTATTAATTAATAATAGAAATTAGAATAAACTAAAACATATTAATTAGTACTGCAGTCTTATGTCTGTTTGGGATTTTTCATCAGAGAAAATACTGGATCCCAAACTGGTGGTACGGAGAAAACATATTCCCTGTTGAAATTAGGATGTTTTTTGATTTGAATGGCCTCTCGCAGCATCCTGGGTAGATAATGGACTTCTTTTGCAAAGGACCTTGGGTTTATCAAACTTCATTGAATGTGTAGGTTTATCCATGACAAGCTCGTAGACTGCAGACTTGTTTATGCGACGGTGTTTCATATCAGCTATATATTCTTTGACGCGGGTACAAATACATCGCTTCGTTTGTCCAATATAAGAGAGATCGCACTCACAGTCAAGCTTATGAACTCCTGCATTCTGTAAGGGGATGTTACATTTCACGGGTCTCAGGAACTGAGAAATGTTCCTCAGGGGTTTGAAATAGGTCTTGATAGATGCACGCCTAATGACTCTTCCGATCTTGTCTGTAACACCTCTCACGTAAGGTAAAATGGCAGGTCTTCGCTCGACTGTTGGTGGTTTCACACGGGGCGTGCGGCATTGGCGTGGAATCTTCAACTTATTGGCATGTAGGACTTGCTTTATATGCCGAAGTTCCCCTGCCAGATGATTACTGTCGCAGACACCATGTGCTCTCTGAAACAAAGATTTGCTCACTGTAGCTAACTGGCTAGGATGGTGATGGGAATTACCATTGAGATACCTATCTGTATGGATTTTCTTTCGAAATACAGTATGACCTAAGGTGTTATTAGGATTTCTTTTAATTAAAACATCTAAGAAAGCTAAAGTACCACAATTCTCTTGTTCCATAGTAAATTGGATCTTAGTACTAAAAGAATTGAGATGGTCCAAGAAAGAAGGTATGCTATCGAGCGAGATACCGGGGAGCCTGTCGCTATACCGTGGATTTGTAGGTAGAGTTCATTATTCCACAATAGATAGCCTGATGTTAGGCAGTGTTCTAATAATTCTGCATATTCAATGGACATATTATATTCCCTTAGTTTTCTACTTACAATTTCAATGCAGTCTTTTACTGGTAGGTTGGTAAACAGCGACTGAACATCAAAACTGACCATGATGTCATCATCAGTTAACCGTAGATCTTTGATTCCACTGATGAAATGGTATGAATCCCTTATCTGTGTAGAAGTGTTCCCTCTCAATGGTGACAGTACCATTGCCGTGTATTGAGCCAGTTTATAGGTTGGTGTGTCAATCTGGCTAACTATGGGAAAGAGTGGGGTGTCAGCCTTATGTATTTTTGGTAACCCATTCGGTTTTGGAGATTTTACACAGCAGCACGAACTCACTTGCATCAAGATTCAGCGTATCGGAGTGTTTAGATATTAACTTAGTTGTTGTTTTTAATATCTTGGTGGTAGGGTCTTTCTTCACCTTTTTATACGTGCTTTCATCCGATAGTAAGTCAGTTATTTTGCTGTTATAATCTCACATATTCATGACCACCGTCGCGTTACCTTTATCTGCTCAGGGGATCACTAATTCAGGATCTTCGCGGAAGATCTTCAGCGCGTTATATTCATCTCGAGTAAGATTCGGTCTGGGCTGTTTATTTGAACGCAATATTGACGAAACGTCATGGCATACTGCCTCCATATCTTCCTTTCTCATGTTGTTTTTCATATAATTTCTTCGTATGAAACACGACGAGGAGCCACTGCGAAATTCAAACCCTTTTGCAAAACTGAATAAGCAGACTGATCCAATGTTTTGTTCGATAAGTTTAACACAGATTGAGTTTTTCCTCTGATGAAAAATCCCAAACAGACATAAGACTGCAGTACTAATTAATATGTTGTAGTTTATTATAATTTCTATTATTAATTAATAATAAATTGAACTTAATAAAAATTCATTCAATAAAATAATGTGTAAAACTTAATGTAGCGTAAATTGGAATGTTTTCTTTGTAAAATTTAAAATAAGGTATTTAATTAATAACTATTGTAACAATAGTGAAAAAATAGGGTGGTTTGCATTAATATTAGACATAACTGGTGGAAGACTGTACCACCTCAGTCAACCGTGACTTTGGGACCTGTGAAGGGCCCGAAACGTCGGTTTGTTTGAAAAAACAAATATACACGATTTAAATTCGGAAAAATAGTTTATATTTAAATAAATAAGAATGAGACGCAAAATATCAATTATATTAACATCTCCTTTCTCCAGTTTTATTGAAAAAAATCTATATTAATCAAAACGTATTTTCTTTTACATGTTGTGACAAAGCAAAAACGCTTGAATATTTAAAAATTATAATGGATTCAATCAAAAGTCTAATAAATATAAAACTTTTAAACTGACGTTTACGAAATTTACAACAATGCAAAGTCAACCCCCAACCACTCGACAGAGCAGTAACTAATACAGGTTTGTCGCGTGGTACATGAGGATTAAAACAAATAAACGCAAAAAAATGAGTCGACTGTTTTTTCATTTTCAAATTAGACCTACTAATTTGCTAGACTTTTGAAAAAATACTTCATTATTTTTGGTGATTTTTATTAGTGTTCCGCGAAGTTTGCCGGTGTGTATAAATTGCCGAATCTTATCAATCAGTACGTTTTAACCGGCACCCGACACTTACATAGTCTAGTATACACTACACGCTATCGAGATAGTCAATGCCTTTGTAAATATTTGCCGTCTTTGCCTTTGGACACTTCCTAATGGAAAATTGACATCGTATACCTCTTGGACTATGAATGATCGCTACAGCTTCTACACTATACTTGGCATACTAGGCTAAGTGGATTACTTAATACAATATAACGTAGTACTTCCACATTTATGAAGATGACATTTTGGCACCTTATGACGACAACAAAAATGTACTACAAATATAGGTAAGATTATAGAAAAGAAGATCATTATACATTTTCAAAACAATTATATTATGTATTATATAGTTCACTTACAATTGTAGGTTATAAAAATCTCACGTACAGTTAAAGACTGCGTCAAAAATGATAGGTAACATCAACGTTATTTCATTCGGTAGAATAAATTTGCGGTTACGGTGAGCTGCTACTAGCGAATGAAGATGTAGACTCACATGCGATCTCTACAGTACAAAAAAAACAGTCGAATTGAGAACCTCCTCCTTTTTTTGAAGTCAGTTAAAAAAGGAACTTTAATATATAAATGTGAAAATTTACTTCATCCTTTTTTTACCTTTTTCCAAAAGGAAAGTAGAACGAGCGCGTAGCAGCGGGTGTATGTTAACAAATTGTGCAATGTCCGCTACAGCGTAGCACTCGTAGCTGCTGCGACGATCTTTATTGCTACATAGTGTAAATGTTACTGTTTTACACTATACCATACTGTTCTGGTATATTGTGTTGTATACATAGGGAATGTATCTTATACGTCTGTATTATACGTGGATCGTTCTTTTCTGTCGTCGTCATTTCGTAATACAACAAATATTCAATTATTTTATTATTTACAGGTATAAGGCAAGAACAGGACATATTCGTGCGACTCATCGACTCTGTCACAAAACAGGTAAGATTTTCATTATCAAACTAAACAACAAACTTTTAAGCCCTTTCATGAGTCGAAACTTAGAAATTCGAAACGAATTCAATACTAAAAAAATAAAAAAGGGCACAGTATAAACTCAGTACACAGCAGTCTCACTCCCCCTGTCATTCCCGTGCCACGCGCCGTACACGTGGCAGATTGTCATCGCCGTCGCCCGATTAGGCCCTAATACCCACGCCCTCTGGTCAGCCAAATTGCATTGCATTTTACAATCATTACCGTTATCTCGTGTTACTCTGTCAATTTTATTTTATTTCACAATGCACAATTCCGAATGTGTCAAAATCAAATTTCATTTGTAATGCTGAGAAATTTTAGATTTTAATAGGCAACTCAAAGGGTTGTTAGAAGATGAGAAATGGGTTAGTGATATTTGACTACAATAGTACATTGCCATCATGTTCGTAATAATAACAGTGACGTCACATAGGAGATCTTAATGTTCATCTGTTCTATTTTTGGTGAATTTAAAGAGAAATATAATCACTGAAATTTATGTATCATAAAATAAAAAGTAAGATGTCATTTGATTCGGATATACAAATGTTAAATATTATATTAAACAACTTCACACACGTTGTTCTGAACCCTGAAATCACTTGTGTTCAACAACGACGGCACTACAAACACCCAGACCCGAGACACTATAGAAAAGATAGTTTTCTACATTGACCCAGCCGGGGATCGAACCCGGGATGTCAGAGATGGTGACACCATGAAAACCGGTGTGTAAACCACTTGACCACGGAGGTCTTTGAGGTTCTTTATATTTATATTTTTATATAAAAAGTTTATTTTAGAAAAAGTTTTGGTTAATTTATATAGAAAAAGTATTTTTATAATTTTCGACATAAACGATTGTATAAAGCATATTTAATATTGGGTCCACTTATCACATATAAAGCAATAAATAATGAAACACCTTTTCGAAAGCCATGATGAAACTTCTCCGCGCCCACATATATAATTTCAGCACGTCCCGAGCAGTTAGTGTTTGTGAAACAAGAGACCAATTACGAAAGATTTATGCGAACAACATAATTAACTTAGGCCGAATGTTGTTAACTAAGAATTACTGAACTTATCTTTATACCGTAATGCAGTGGTGAAATTGGGTTTCTACCAATTGCACTTAGCCAACATAAAATGTGGCTCGAAAGGTGTAATCGAAATATTGAATATTTCTGGCGTAATTTAAATTCAATAGTGTATCATTAGAATTACTACAACGATTAATGCTGCTTTATATATTAATTATTTTTAATTTGAGGTTATAATTTACGCTATGTAAGTAACTTACGCTGTGTATTTTTATGGACGACATCACACCGACCGTGGGCGCGTGCGTCCCTCTCGCATTCGCGCTCGATGTGCTGTCGTCCATATGAATACACGGAATTGGACCCGCCGCAGTCCTGACCCGACTCGCACCCGCTCTCTGTGTGCTTCACACTTTAATAGCCGTGGTAGCCTAACGGCTTGTCCTACCGCCTCTCAAGAGCCCGTGCGTTCGAATCCGGGCTCACACCTCTGAGTTTTCGGAAATTTATTTTAAAATTTAATTTGGAATCTACTATGAGCTTTTCGGTGAGGGAAAACATCGTGATGCAACCTGCACGTCGAAAAAAGTTTACAAACCTCGGAAAACATGTGAAGTCTTGGGGACCCGTACTCGACCAGGGAGGCGGACTGCGGCCTAACCCCTCGCCTGAGAGGAGAACCCGTACCCAGCTGTGGGACGTATAAATAAGTTGATGATGAAATAACTTTTAATTAATATCCAAATACATATTGGTTTGTCTGTCTTTAAATACAATAAATCAACCAGCGCTTCTTTATACTCTGCGTAAAAAAATATGTTTATATAAAATAGCGATGAATCGTTAACCATCAGACGTTATTTGTAAAACTTTTTTATAATATCAAGTGATGGGACGAACAAGTCATGCGCCTGGTGGTAAGCTTCACGCCAGTCCATAACAGTTGCAGTGCTGCTTAAAGAGCACCGCACCTCAAAGCGCATCGCTACTGTGCCCATCACCCTGAGACATAAGTTGACAAGCCCCATGTGCCTGTAATTTCACCAGTACCCTTAGCCTTCAAATCCGGAACACAGTAATACTGACATTACTGCTTAGCGGCACAAATAGGTAAGGTGGCAGTACTACCCTGGACGAACTTTTTAGCTTAAAGCGGTGCGCAGACGGAGTAATTTTGATTGTTGAGTTTTGGCAACTGGCACCTGTTTATGACGTTTTCCATATAATTTCATGAAACTGCGCAAACGTAGCCATTTTAGTTGAGAGTTTCTGCAATTGACAACAGAATGCCGAAATCCTGTGATTAAATAAATTGTTAATTGCCACAACTAGAAACTTGCAATTTTCTACTGGTGGTTGTTTCAAGTTGCCAATTTCCCCAGCCGGCCGGAAACCGCAACGCTTTGAGCGACTACACTCTCTCTCCCCGTCTCCCGCAGCGTCAGTTTTGCTCTTGCTAATGACCACGGATTTCGAATGTTTATTTAAAATCGCGATATCTAACTGTACATTGGGCCCTTTTGTAGTTGCAACTGGCAACTGTTAACGGAAACCTCAGCAGACTTTTTCTTGTCACTTCCGAGGCAGAAGAATTTCTTATCTGCACTGGCAATACGTGGCCAATCTTAGATTCTTAAACGTATGTCGCGTTAATTATATATCATTAGTCGTTTATTTACTCGGTCTTTCTACCTTATTTCAAACGCTGAAATAGGACTATTTTAGGAATATTTTTTTAAACACTGAAATGAACCATATGTCAAATTAAGACATAAAATGACATAGAGTGACAAAAGATTGACACGCAAGCAAGTCGTTCGTGGAAAACGGCGAAAGATGGCACCGGATAGCGTACTCGATTTAATTGTATTAAAACGTTGAGGGCAATCAGCTAATGTTCACCATGCGAGCAAGGCACGCAACTCTCGTTGCCCAAAAAATAGCATTAGGCTTGTAATACCCCTGTGTTACGAGTACGCTTGCTTAAATGAATGACAGGATAAAAACGGTTGAATGTTGTAATGCTATTATACTATCGGCTATAATACGGCTACTGTTCTAATAATTATATAAAATACAAAATATTTTTTAAAGCAGTGTTAGGATGATCACTTTAAGTGATTTATATCGACTCATCCGAAGAACAGAGTCCGATGTGATTATATAGCGAAAAGAGAATAAGTACGTTTCGACAACAATTTCGTTATTCAAACTAAGGCTTATGTAAAGATGTTTTGAGAAATTATATATCTTATTTCGTTTCGGAATTATAAAATCGAAAAACGGTCAATCTAACCTGATCCATAGCGAAGTAGAACGAACGAAATGTATTATGTCCTGAGAACAAGTAGTCTTGCACATAAACCTTTGTTCTACGGATGAGTCGATATTAGTGTCACCTTCCCGTGCAGTTCTGGGGTTCGTTGAATATTTTGTCGAATCCTTCACACCTAAAATTACGAACTGCGCTTCGACTTGGGTAAACCACTTTACTTTCATTGGGCAATTTCGCGAGCAATTTATGTATGAAGAATAATATTAACAAAAGAGTGTACTGCGAAGTTTAATGTAAAAAAATGTAATATGAGGCATATGTAATTTTTTTTTCAATTTTTTTTCGTTGCTTCTAATTTCACCTCTGAAAAAAAGGTTTTTTACAACACTAGGTATGACACCCATCATATGTTCAAGACAATAAAAGTTTATGTACCCAACGATTTATGAAATCGAACGATGTTACGAATTTTGAAATATATTCTCACGTTTCGATTCACGTTCACGTTCAAAACATTAACAACCGATTAATATTTGCGTTCCCAAACTAAATCACTATCATATCAATATCTAAAACATCAATCAGGCTCCCTCTGTTTGAACTTTTTCTTAAGAACTGACTCATGGCCCAGGGAATGAGATTTTGCCAAATCCCATACATTACCCCTAACAGTAACAGCGGTTTGAATAGCGAAGCGTGTGCTCAACACGTGCCTTACTGATTATGTTTACTTTAACTATGTTCAAACAACATATTAATTTGGCGTCTCTTTGTTAGGAAAATTACGTATGGAAGTATTTTGCATGGTGTAAAAATAGTGGAAATCGTACCCATAACTGTATCAGTTCAAAATTGATATGAGAGAAATATTTGCAGTTAGTATAAGGTTTTACTTAGTTTCAAGGCTTTTTATCAAATGGTTTGTGGATATTATCCGTGAAATTTTGTAGTATAATAAATATTATAATATTGTACCTTCTGCAGTACACACAGCACACGAAACCTAATCGTGCTATAAATGTAAATTGTGGAATTGAGAAAACCCGATGAAAAAGGAAAAAAATGAATGAAACCATTATACGTATATATATCGCACTTGACAACTAACATAGTATTCTCATATATATATCTCAAAAATTGCATTATACATATTAATAATTTTGTTTCCCAAATTTCGCTATATTGATGTGTCATTCATATACGATTTAATTTAAAAAAACAGGACAACACTGTCGCTTTGAAACTAAATAGATAATTTTAATATAATTTGAAGCCATTTTGAGATAATACTTTGTCAGTTGTCACGTGCGATATATTGTCGTTTATAAATGTATAATTAAGTATTTTGTGTAAACAACAATAATCACATTATTCGCAATAAGATTCATTTAGTATTAATTTTCAAATTGTGTTTTCTCAATTCCACAATTTTGAGTTACAACAGTATTTGGTTTCATGTGCGATATAAAAAGAAAATGATGATAAAGTTCAATTACTATCATTATTTCGCACATTCTTTGGAATGTTTGAATAGCTCTTTAGACTTATAAGGTATTCTGCATCTACACTCAATTCAACAAAAGCAAACAAAGTATAAACTTCAATTTCAGTAGTCGAACAAACAGTAGTATCTACGCAATAAGCGA